TTGTACAATGGTAAATAAAATTATTGATGTTACATCAAACACTGGCCAAACACAAGATCATAGTAGACACTCTTCCAAGTTCAGCTTGTGATGAAGGCTTCTTGACCAGGAAGAAACAAGTGGCGTGAGCCACTTTGATTCAGATTTAGAGAGCTCAATCTCCTACCAACACCCTCCACACCTAGTGATGCTGTTCTTCTCGTAAGAGCTCCATGCTTGATGTTGATGCCGTTGTTGCCGAGCTGGTGGTAGGAATGTTGAGTATGACTTGTTGATGCACGAGGTTGGTGTCATGGAGAGGAGGTATTGTGAGTCCTCAAGAAAAAGTGAGCACAAAAGAGCCTTCTTGGGTGTTGGAATCTGAGAGGATCGTTCTGTTGAATGAGAATGCTAGTTTGAGTTTCAGAATCAACACTTGTGTGAAGAGAACAAAGAGCGCATCTGAATCAGTTTTTATCAAGAAGAAGGCTGGTGAGCTGGCAAAGTGTGTGCTGAAGATGAGGGGATCATAGGGTGTACATGCTACACAGGAAAATTGAAGATCTTCAAGCACAGATACATGGTTTGGAGAAGAGGAACAAGGAGTACTATGAGAAACTTCTTAGAAGAGATGGTCAAGATGGTAACAAAGGGAAGAGTGGGGAGGGGATAGCTTTGGAGGTTTGTGTTCAGATGGATAAGTTTAGGAGGTTCAAGTGGAAAGACGGTAATTCTTCTAGGAAGAGATTTGATGGGAAGAAATCCCCCAGTTTGTGGAAAAAGCTGAAGAACATGGATTTGTTATTGTGTGGCACTAATCCAACCTGTGCTTGATTAGTGTGATGACTGGTAGTTTTTTTGGAGTCCACAAAGTTCTATCAAAATTTATATGCATACTTTGGCACTTTAAAGGTAGCAGCAGTAGCCTACTAGGTTACTATAAGCCATGGTGTACATTCCAACATGAGGCCTTTCAACATAGAAATGCATGAGGATCCTCTAGCTGAATCCATGACAAACTAATTGTAGATCAGTTAACATCATCTTTGTAAAAGCTAGAGTGTGTCTGTACCTTTGCCTCCACTATTTAAGTTCATCAATTCTGCAATTTAGGTATTAGTTAACAAAAAGTATGAGATCCATCTTCCATCAATGGTGTAAGGAGTGATACAAGAGCTATATAATAATTCAAGCACCAAACCAGCTTTGATGCCATTTTATCCATCATTTTAATTTTTCACTTTCACACATTTAATAACTCCAACTTACAAGATGAAGAAGATCACAACCATAGTTTTACTTCAATAAATCAAACTTAAAACATGCATTCCATAACAAGTAACAATTGATGTATATCAGTGACTTGAAACTTTAAAAATGGAAATTTGGTGTGTACAAGGATAACCAAATTTCTTTAGTGGTTAGCTGGAAACATGCGTTGGATTGCGTCATTGAATTGTGTTTGGCAAGTCTTTTAAGATGGTAGGGTCGTTTGGTGTTTTGAAAATTGAAGTTGCTACTATACCTTGTTTTAGGCTTCATTTTCCAACAAAACGTCAATTTCAACTCTCACGCAGTGCCCTATTCAGTAAAATGTTATCATTTTCTATCAAACGTTTGTTTTGTAAGGATCTCTTTTTCAAATTTCAATTTGATCAAACCAAATCAAAACCAAGACAGTTTCCATGCTAATGATAAGAGTCATATCTTCACATACCCCCACAATAATAATAAAAAATCACGTCACTCGTTACGTAATGAAAGTGAATAATGAAATTGTCTCCATTCATTTCTTCATAAGTCAGTCGTACAATCAGTATAATAGATTGAACTGAACAACGTAAAAAAAGAGAGTAAATTGAACAGATAAAAAATAAAGCGTATGAAAATCTTCTTATTTATTTATTAACCCGTGAGTTTTATTACATTATCTCATGGATGCTTATGAAAAAAAAATAAAGGTTAGACAGTTACTTTAGTCTTCGAAATATGATATTCGGATATTTGAAAAATTTTAAACAAATATGATATTGAAAGTAGATACTGGATAGGGGGTTCATACAATGGTTATGAAACTATAAGATATCTTGCACAAACAAACAAAATTATAATAGTAAACAATACTTTTTCATATCAATAATGTACAAAAAGTGTTGAATACTATCTGAAGTTACAATTTTTATAACATGTTTTGTTAACTATCTAGAAATTAAAACGATATACGTGACTACTAATTTGTGACATCAGAATGTTTGAGAGCACCAGTGTTTGGTGAATCATGTTCTTTCTTTTCCTATGGTCGTTTTATATTGTAGTCTTAGAAAAGAAGAAAAGGAAAAACAAAAGATGGGTGTTGAGGCTTATAATTACTCCAGTGTAATCATGTTCTATCTTTCCTCATAACCTCCTATTGTGCCTCATGCAAAGGGAGAAAATTACATTGTTGGTGACAGTTATGGTTGGATTGACTTCGTAGATTTCAACAACTGGTGTGATGGAAAAGAGTTTCATGTTGGTGATGTTCTAGGTAAGGGTAGAGTTTCACATTTCATAATAAGAAATATGACTAACATACTCTTTCACATGTTGTTCTATATCATTCTTTTTATTCTTTTTTTACCAGCATTTTCTTTTTGTTAACATGTTCTTTTTACTGGTAACATTTAGGACATAATACAGAGAAGCAGAAAAGATTTATGTGCACCAGTATGTTTGGTTATGCATAGGAAAACACCAATATATTTGCTTGATGTCTTTGAAAATAGTGTCAAACATGATTGTGACTTATGAGTGATTCATTGTTTATGGAGTAAAAAGTCACTTTAATCTGAAAGAAACATTGGTATTACACTTTATGGTGACTTTTAGTAAGAAAAAATATTGATTCATAACCACCGACCATCTTAATACTTTTGGTTTTAAAAGTTTAAAAAGCCTCATGATTTTATTTTATATTTTTTGAGTTAATCTAAGAGCATAAATACCTACCTTTACCAATTACATGTTTAAAAGTTAGATTTATTAAAATGTCAAGAAAACATAAATGACTGCATACAAACTAAAATCAAAATTGAAGAGTCAATAACAAATTTTGCAAAATAGAATACACACATTTACCTACATCTTCGCATTCATAGCATATTATCCCGAAATATGGCATTTTTTTGTATATTATTACACGAAAGTTGAACATTTTCACTAGCAGTTATATTGAACAAAATATATATAAAAATGTTGATACTTCTGTTACCAGTGTTCAATTATGACAGCAGCCAACATAATGTATTGCAAGTTGATTCCACAGTTTATGAGAGTTGCATAAAGGACTCGTATAGAAAAAGTTGACCAGTGGCAACGACTCAATAGTGTTAGAGAAAGGTGGAGCATGGTTCATATGTGGAGGTGATGATCACTGTGAAAATGGGCAGAAGCTCCACATCAATGTAACTCCTTAACTGATAATCATGTTTGATATTGGTGTTTTAGTCACTTTAATTGCTACTTTTCATAATATTTCAGATTTTATGAATCTTCTTTGAATGGAATCATCATCGTGTTCAATCAACCAANAAAAAAAAAACTGACTAAAATAAAAGTAATCTAATTATGTATTATAAATTATAAAATTGGAGATGAGATAGGTGTGTATTTTACATTTTACGATTATCAAATTAAAGTTTCTGCAGCACATTTTCTTATTCTTTCTTTTTAAATTATTTTTTATTGATTACTTTATTGTATATTGCAAATAGAAAACATTAAATAAAATGTTGAGACACAATATTCCATGACATTCCATTATTTTAATTAATGATTAAAAGAATATTTGTTAGCGTCATTCTATTCGATTTTCGTTTATATATTTGATTCTCTTAACAACATCTTTTCTTTCTATTTGTTTTCTTTTATATTTGTTTTTATTGCCAATCAGAACATACTATTAATTCTAACAAACTCTTCTACAAAAAAGATACAATATTTATAATTATAACTAAAATGGAAATATTAGATAACCAACAAACTTATAATCCACACAAAAGTTATTTCTAGATCAATCCTAATCACTTATAAATTTTTCACTTCTCTCTCTTAATTCAAATATTTTTTTTTTGTTTTTATTTTTTCACCCATAAAATTTGTCTAAACAATGACTTAGGTCTTGATTTTAAAGTGAAAAAAATTATAAAAAATTAAAAAAGAAAAAAATGAAAACATGTGAAATAAAAAAAATAATAAATACAAAAAATGAAAGAAATAAACATTAAATCTTTTAACAAACAAAAAAAAATTATTTGACATTTTTTGTATCATCTATTATTGAAATCTCTCAATCCTCACCTTTAATATCTTCAATATGAAAAAGTGTTTTAAATCTTATGATTAAAAATTAAGTTAAATCATAATATATAAGTAGAGAAAAAAAATAACCTTACTAAACTATTTTAAAATATTGAGTTATGCTTAAATTTTATTATTTTAGTAATCTTTAAATACAAATGTGTTAGTTGTCAATAATTTATTTTTAAAATTATTTTACCTATTTCCTTAATTAATTTTTCTCATTAAATACATCTTTCATTGCTATTTAATTATCCTTATAGCTAAGGGCTACGATAAATAATTTGATTTTATAGTTATATATTATCTACTTATAATGACTATCATTAGAGTCTTTATATATGCAAAATTTAAGTGGCACAACAGTAGCATTATATTTTCCCAAATACAAGTGCTTTATACTTTCTCAGTTTTAATTTATAAACTAATTAATTGATTTATAAATTTTGTAATAATTTTATCTTATCTGTTGCTCACTTTGATTAGAAAGAGAATTTATTTCGTTGGGACTATCACATTATGTATCGAGTCTTTGTGTATTACTTATTCTTGGATGAAAGTAAAATTAACATATATGAACTATCATTTAAAAGTATCATGATTTATTTTATGATAATAAAAAAATAATCCATTTTAAATGTTTCACGATCCAACCTACTAGAAAAATTAACATCTTATGATAGTTACTACACACTTCAATGACAGATGGATGGTCTTATATTCTGCATCTTTGCAGTACAAGAAGCAAAAATACATTACTGATCTGAGATTCAGATGCTACTGTCGTGATAATCAAGCAGTTTCATTGCGATTTTGATTTCCCCTACTGCTCTATTTCTACAAGAGTTTAACTTTTATACATTTTCAATATAAATTATTTTTATACATTATCAGACAAGACTTTACCTTATCATCAGATGATGATAAAATGGTTAAATCTGATCAGATAGCTACCTGCACAAAAATACTTTACATTAATAATGTATATAAATTAACATGAAGAAGACCCTTTTGATGAATTATTTTCCTAGCTCAAGGGCACCATCATTATGAGAGATCCAAGTGTGTTTCTCTTCCTCCTCTTGCTGTTTCAGAGTCTCATAGAGAGGAGCATTTCTTGTCTCAGGTAGCCACAAGCTCAAAACTCCACTAGAAATTGCAAAGCCTCCAAACACAAGAAAAGAAAGAGAGGGACTCAAACGGCCCAACACAACCAGCAAAGGGGCCACAGAAGCCCCCAACATTATGGCCTGCCGCAACATTGACACAGCAAAGTTCCTAACATTGGTAGGAAAAAGTTCCACACAATATATGTACAAAATATCAAATGTTGTGGAAGCCCCCATGAATCCTATTCCTTCAATGATCAACTGGACCCAACTACCTCCATGATTGTTCTGCACTTTTGATGTTCCTCCTTTGTGTGAAAAAAATGTGCATAGGATGGAGGACACTGCAGCTATGAAAGAGGACACAGATAACAGCAAACGTCTGTTGGTAAACCCCAGGAGAAAGGTGCCAATCACAACAGCAGGAATCTCCATCACTGCATTGATTGCTACTGAGACATAAAGGTTGAAGTTCAAGTTTTCTACATTGAGTTGAACTCCATAGTAAACAAAGCCAACTCCAAAGCCAGCTAACATAACAGTGATCATTCTTATGGCTGCCCATTTTGTGGTCCAAAGTTTCTCTCTATTGTTTGGAGTTATTTCAGCACCTTCACTGGTGGTGGATGGTGCAGCATTTGATGATCCAGTAGGGTCGGTTAAAGAGAGGTTGCTGGGGAGTTTTTGCTTCCCATTGAGTCTTGCAAACCTGTCCAAAACCTGAAGGGCCTCTTTGGTTCTCCCTTTTATGAGGAGCCAACGTGGGGATTCTGAGACTAAAGGTAGGAGTAGGACAGCATATGCTAGTGGAATAAAGGACAAGACTTTGTACAAGCTCCTCCAATCTGTTCTGGTTGGATAGGCCACAAGGGGAAGTGTGAGGAAGCCTACTGTGAAGAAAAAGAAACCGTATTGGCCTACTTGGCCACGCCACTTGCGGCCTACTGATTCTGTGGTGAGCACAAGACAGCATATGCCAATTCCTGACCTTGCAAAGCCATTGGTGAACCGGAAGAAGGCATAGGTCCAAATGTTTGGAGACAGAGAGGTGGCAAAGGCAGTGATGGAGGTTAAGATGCAGGAAAGTTGCACTGTTCTTTTTCTTCCTAACCATGTATCAGATAGGTGGCCATACACACCAGACCCTGCAACAAGTGCATGTAGATGATTGTTACTGGTGTTACAATCAGCAAATTTAGTTACAGTTTAAACAATTATACCTTCAATCAATCACAGATTTTCCTGAGTACAACTTTTAAGATTTATATGCTCTTAGATTATTAATAGTGTAAAATCTTTTATGATATCTATGCTTAGAATATTTTCTCATTAGTTATGTTATTTTCTCTCCAGAATATGATACATGGTTATGCAGACTTGGTTTCACATTGCTTTTTTACTGGACAAAAGGTCAAATCATGGGAGACAGAAAAATGTTACCATTGGTTTTTGTAGTAGATAGGTAAAGGTAACAGAAATGAACTGAAATGCTTCCGTCTCTTAGAAAAATTGCAAACATGTTTACATAACGTGTTTTGTTGGAAAACTACAGAAAAATGCACTGGGCAGGGATAAAAAATGATTTTACAGCTTGATACGGGGGTTTTCAGGACAATTTTTTTTAAGTAGGTAAAATAATGAATGGTAGATAATATGAATTTTTATATACTGTACTTGTATTAGAAGTTATAATAGTTAATATCGTGATTTTCAATTATTCACAGTATAGAACTTTTTTTTATCCTGAGCACAAACATAAAATTCTTTTATCGTACAGTAAGATAATAAGAAAACAAGTTAATGAGTTAAACAGTAGGAGAACAACATTTTTTTGGACTAGGATTTATTGAAGAGTCTTATTATATAAAACATTCATCACAAAGACAGCCACTCATAACTTTTCATCCACTAAATTTGTTCAAAAATATTTGATGGGCCATAATCATATTAAATAGATTTTGCAGAGTTTCACATATATAAATGGTTTACAACTATTTATCTAATAGAGTTGCGTGTACTTGCTGACTTTTACTATATTATGGCTAAAGTTGTAACAGAAAGAGCTCTAATAAAGGAGAAAGCAACCCTTGTGCAAACTAATACTGCAAGACAAATTGATAAAAGAAAACGTTCTAGTCAGTGGGGTAGAGTGCACATGGTTCGGTATACATGACTGAGTAACAAAGAAAAATTTTCAGCATAGTATTACTAACAACACCACTTAACATTCAATTCACCATGACTAGCAGATTTACAAAACTGAGTGAAAAAAGTGACTCAAAAAAAGTTGAGCTGATTAGACTAAAGAGCATGTTACTGTTATTCATTCCTTGTAAAAAACAAAAGAACAAGCAATGTGTATTTATCAGTTGATGTTTAATGAGATTCACAAAAAATATGAATGAGGCTTGTTGAAAGAAATGAAACTCATCCTTTTTGTTTCAAGAAACTTGAACTGATATGTTACACAGTATGATACCATTATTGCTCTGAGAACAAAAGAACAAGGAATATGTGTACCTATGAGAGAGCCAAGGAAGTAGACTGAAGCAGGCACAGCAGCCAGAAACCTTCTATCACATACAAGATTCCATTCTGCTATGGTGGAACTAGTATGGCCACCAACCCATTCCCAAGTCCCTGGTACCAACTCACATACAGAACCAGTGTTGCTGCTGTTGTTGTTGTAACCTTGACACAATCCACTTTTGCACCTCCAAGGAGGTTGAGCATCAGTGAAGATTGTCACCAAAGTACTCTGAGCATCAAATATCCATGCCAATGATACCAACAGCACATGCACCAGCTGAGAGAATCCTAAGGAACCAACATATTCCTCCACCACCTCATCAACTGTGAGCTCAAGTTTGGCCTCACTCCCCTCCAAATTAGTGCCACCCTTAACCAGCGTTTGCTCCTCTTCCATCATGGTTCCTACAATCAAAGAAAAGGGAAACCAATCAGTTCCTAGCTTGATCCAAATGTAAGTATATCCACATGTATATATATATATACATATTTTGTTGCTGACATTACTCTATACAGAGGTTTCATTAAAAAATCATGGGGTGACATGACATCTAACACATAAAACCTCCCTTTTTTTGTGTATATAATAAATAAAATGCTGGTTTGGAAAATATGTGCTGAGTGTTTCTAGTGAAACAGTTTTGGTGGATGCACTGTGTTTGGGGTGAAAGTGAGTGGTAGTGGAGGGATACCAACTAGAATATACCATATTCCAAAATTTGATGACACACGTATCATATGAAAACAGCACCTAGCATATAGAATTAATTGGTGGGATAATGTGGAACAAAGTGATGGAAGATTGATGAGTTATTGCTAATGGTAATGGTAATGGATGAATCTGGGGCCCATGGTATTCACATTTGTGGTGGTTGGTGCAAGAATCAAGAAGAGAGTTAGTGATAGTTCAACATATGATCCTGAGAAAAAAAGCACACTGAATAGCATGTATATATATGTATATGTATATATAATATACATAATAAGCATGAAAGGGTTCTGGGAAGAGAAGTTTTGGCGTTTGAGAACCAAAGTCTGACACACCTTTTGAATGAAAGGAGTGGAAGTTTGGTTGAGCAGAGCTAGAAAATTGACATACTGTTCTTGAGATACTGAAAAAATGGCTGATATCTTGGCCATGAAACAAACATATTGTGTGCATATTTAAATTGTTGGGGTAAGTTTGTTACTTGTTTCGAAAGATATTCATCACTTGTTATTTAGATTTTGACACATTGTTTTCACGATTTATATTCAATTTAAACACTTTTATTGCTAATATGATAATATATATTTTTTAAAATTTTTAAAATTTTATTGACTTGTGAATAATGATAATATACATAAAAACTTATATAAATTATTTACGGCATAGATGCTATTTTGTAAAATATTCCAAGTGGGGTTATTTATAATTCATTGATCTGTCGTGATCGTCACATTTTGATACACATTTAAATTATCATTTCTTAAATTATTTCTTACTTATAGTTTGATCTTATTAGCCATGAATTAATGCAAAAGGAAAGGGTTTGGTGAAGTTTTAATCCTGAAAATCATGCATCAATTAAAGCATCACTTTTAGCATTTTGAAATTGTTTTCTTACGATAATGACAACAATTAAAGATAAGCTAGAACCAAATTTTCTTCGCCTATTTCATTCATTTTGCATTTTTAATATTCGGTGAAAAAGTCTATTTTTTTGGTAACTGCTAAAAGAACCTTTATTTTACTCTCTTTTGTTCTCACTCGAATGAAGGAAATATATTCTATTTTTGGAGACTCCTCAAAATTATTATCTCCACATAAATTTTGAGATATACCTTTCACGAAACTATGAATAAGGTGGTTAAATAACATACTCTTTCACGAATTTTGGACACTAATTTCTCATTTCACATAAATTTTGAAATATATCTTTCACGAAACTATGAATAAGGTGGTTAAATAATATACTCTTTCACGAATTTTGGACACCAATTTCTCATTCCACATAAATTCTGAGATGTACATTTCACGAAAATATACTATAAATATAAAATTGTCCAAATAAATA